CAAAATGCACAAGGAAAATAACGCCGTTGGATATAGATGTACATGTACAACCTCGATTATAGCTAGATGAAGGATCGCAAGCACCCGTTTTACTGATGCTTTAATATACATATATATATACATCACTATATAATTGTTGACTTTTGTGATCGTGAATATTATGTTATATGAACCTACAATACAATAGTCGAAGGGAAGTTAAGTTCAATATCACTTTACAGGTCCCTTTCATATAATGGCTATAACTTAAGCCCATATTTGTTTAATTTTAATCTTTAAAAAATTAAAAACACAAAAACAACACAAAACACAAAATATATGAGTGCTTAATTGTTCTTCGAAAACTATTCCAGTAAATAACCAGAATTTCTTTTCTAGCAGGTAATAATCACAAATTAAACTGAAAGCTCGATTATTTAATAATCCCCGGATCAACAGTTATAACGTACAATCATACATCTCTCAACTTTTGAGATCGAGCACTCCAAAAAGGTTTCATCATTTGTAAATACGTTTATTTACATGCCAAATTATCGAATAAAACAATAAAAAATTGTAGAGGACAACCTGTGTCTTGATACAGCACAAAATGATGTACAACCATCAATTCATCACATCATGCACAAGATGATTGCTTTTATGAAACCAGTCCCATTTTCAGACGACGTTCTAACGCAATACAGTGGAATGGAAAAAAAATTGAGTAGAATAGTCCTATTCCAATGAGGCTTCAATCTTGTATATACACAACCACTTCTCTAATATTAAAATACACGCTAACCCTGGCATTATTTTCACCACTTTCCATTAAGATAACGAAACCCATATAATGAAGATTTTATTTAGGAAAACGTTATAATATTTAAAATATATAATAAAGACAAACTTCCTCAACTACAGTGATATTTTTCTCTGGAAATCTAAAGTGAAAAAAGGTTCCTATATTTCTAAAAAAAATCTTCCGGTTGGTAAGTATGGATGAATCGACTCATTTCGATACATATATAACAACCATTGTACATATGCTTACAGCGCAGCCGAAATCGACAACCATTTTGTGGACAACTCGTACACATTTTACACTTTTGTGTGCATACGCTTCACTGGTCATTTGTCTGATGAAAGTCAGTGTACAATTCGTACTAGTCATCGAAACGTCACATAGAAAATTGTATTGGTTGTAAACAAAAGGACTTTTCATAGTTAATGAAAGAAGGTTCCAATGTGATGAACTTTCGTGAAACTGTGACCTGTGTAAATTGTAATATTTAAAGCAGTTTGTGTAGATTTAACGAAATGCACTATGCACATGTTTACGGAAACAATGACACAGTGTCGTTTCAGAGAACAACATTACGCTAAATAAGGAAATAGAAACTATGTTGTATTCGAGTTGAAGATGAGGTATCAGTCGACGATTGTTTAGCTTCGACATATAACGCTATATAACTTCCTCCAAGAAAATCATTGCAAACTCAAGATAAGCTTACTGAAGAACAACATCGAAATGGAAAATCAAATCCCAGGTATGTCAATTGTTATATTAATCAAAAGTATACTACTATTTTAAATAAGCAGAGAACGAATATACAAAATATGTAGGAGTAAACGTTAGAGGATTCATTGAAGACGCATCTTTCTAAACGTTTCACATACTTGTAAGTGTGGTACCTTTTAGGAATACTGGAACATTCCATTGCGAGTTATCATTAGTAGGAGCCACCTCGTTTGAGCACACTTATTACATGTACGAAATCGTGCTTGAAAAGAAGTCAATTTGAAATTAAAAAGCGGAATGTGTGGAAAAAGAATTGTATAGGCACCAGAAGGGTTTGCTTTAAATGTGTTTAGCTGTAGAAAACTAATTTTGTGTATCCCTAGACGTTTGCTATCAAAGCATTTTACTCTGGAGAACCATATTAATATGTTTCACTGTAGGAAACTAATTTAGAGGTCATGTAGAATTAAAAACGGGTTTCACTTTGGAGTACGAATTCGATATCTTTTCTGTGCTTCAAAACATGTTTTACTGTATATAATTAACTATATAAGAGTATGGAAAACCAATCTCCTACAAAGGTCCATTGCGCTACGTTTCATTCTCATTTGATTTTGATACCAAATCTCTTTATTTTGAATTCAAAGCCATAGTCATGTTTGCATCGGAACCAGATGTTGGATCCTTGTGTAGAAAGTAGAGATGCTGATAATAATTGTCGGAAAGTCATGAGTTCGTTTTGGAAAACTCTTTGTATTATTAATAAAAAAAGATCTACTGAGTCGCTAATATATTTTTAGCAGTCAGTTAATCATTATTTAACTCCAATACTTTTATAATAAATCCGAACTTATATACCGTTTTGTTTCCGACCTAGTAAACACAACATATTGAAAATCCCATAAAAAAACGACATACAATAACTTTATACGAGACTGTTTGCTCACAAATATTTCAACAAAAACAATCCGACGTATACATTTCAATAAATTACTATGTTCATGGAAAAGAGATCAAATAATAGTTGATGGTATTTCATTTAAGGCGAAAGGAATTTAAGTTTATTATTATATCGCAAAAAGTTGTGGAAGTAAGATTTGTTCAAGAACATATTGCTTGGGGCGATTAGAAGTATCGTTGGAAAGGACCGAAGGGTATTGGATTATAAATAGAACCGAACATTTTGAAATAAGCAGAAGGCTTCAAACGATACAACCCTAACAGTGGATTGCACTGGACTTAAAGATTGTAGTTAAAGATTGATATATTAATACTCATTTAAGATTTTCGATGTACGTGGCTTTTTTAACAGTTTCATACAAATGGTACGAAATAGTTTTGTGTATTTAACAAAGCGTTGGAAACTGTGGTACAGTAATATGTAGAAACAAATGCCTTAAGTACAGGAACAGACAAATGTATAGTGATATTCATCACCGATAAGTTATGAAATATAATGTGGTAAAGTTAAAAGTTAAAGTTCAATTTACGGATCACTAATACAAACGACCAATACAACTTTATACATAATGTACGATAGGTTGCTTTTTTACTATTGAATAATTCAGAAAATGACTCTTAGAAATGATTGTAAGGGGAAAACTATTCTTCTTCTGTAATTCTTTTAACTTAAGAATATTTTGGAGAAATGTTGTGCGTAATTTTACAATTATTAAATCACTCTCATAACACCAATATCGTAAGTGTGTTTCAAAATTGATTAGTTTTTATATGCAAATCATTGACTTTGAAATTCAATGAAGTTGCATTTCTTTTTAAGTCTTATCTTTTATATTACATTTTATTTGTCATTGATAGATAACAGATTTTAGATAAAAAGTGATACAGAGTTAGTTAATAAGAAGTCAGTGATTGGTATTCCTTTAAGTATACCATGTGTCTCCTAGTCGAGGAAAGATAACTACTCTCATTTCCATGAAGATCCCTTATTGATTATGAATAAAGAAAACTTCCGATCGCCAAAACTCAAATATGTGTTTGTTGGTATGCCGATTTTAATGTGTATGTCCGTCATTCTAATTTTTGATAAAGTAGATCTACAAATTTAGCAAAACGTAGAGAACCACTCTTTTTCCTTAAAAAATTATAGACATTTTATAACGTTTACATTACGTTCATAAAAATGATAACCTTTATTAACGTATGCTTAAAACAATACATAGTAACCAAAAATACAAGGTCTCGTTTTCGAATTGTACATATGGATCCCTATATCTAATTGAGGTTTTGGATATGATATAAACTGCTATAGACGTATTCTGTAGACATAATTTATGTAGTATGTTGCTGATTATTTTTTGTGTGTTTCTTTTCCAGATAGACTACCAAAAACCGTGAACGTATTGACCTTTCCAAACGACAATGAAGACACAAATAAATTAGCAGCAAGCTGGGATGTCTGTTCTGAAAATTCATTCGATAACATCATTCCAGAATGTACCCTTTTAAACCTAAGTTGCAATTCTGAAACCGACGAAACACACCATCAGATTCACTCTGGATTAGAAACAGCCTTGACAAGTATTTTGTTGGCGATTTGTTCAAGAAATCTTCTGATTTGGATTCAGAAACAAGACCAAGACTTTATACACCTGATTTTAGTACATGTAGCAAAGGTATGGATGCCGTAAAATCCGCATACAGTGTCGATTTACCAACACTGCCGGGAGAAAAACAAAACCAAAGCGATGGTTTGGAAGTGGTAGATTCTACGAAATCCATCACACATATCACGAATACACCGTCACAGTCGTCGAAACCTAACGCGATGAAGTTGGATTCGGCAAGATCTAAAAGGTCGAGGTTGATTTTGAAAGGCTGCTTCCGAGAAAACAGTTTTAATACATTAGACCCTATGAATCCGACAATCACAGAAGAAAACATTCAGGATAGTGACACTGAATCTGAAGAACAGGATCATATTTGGCACACGCCTAAACCTGGACAACAAGACATGTATTTAGAAAAGCTCAGAGAACTAGAGCAAGAAGTGAACCAACTACAACAGCTTCAGAAGGACATAAACATTCATCCTTCTGAGTTGTCCTCTCAAAGATCTGTGAGCGATAGCGATATCTATAATTCCATTGAGTTGGAAAACAAAATTGAAGGTCCAGATATCAATGATAAACTAAATGTAATCAAAAGTGATATTCATGACATGAAAAAATCATCGAGCACAGACAATATCAACAGGAGAACACATACAGACAGATCTAGTACAATAAAATATGACCAATCTGATATTAAAGCATCATCAAGCTTTGAAAATATCAAAACCAAGGCCACACAGTTGTGGGGTAAAATAACTAAATGCGATGAAAGCAGCTCTGACGAAACATCTCAAAAGCTTTCAATCAAAGTAGACGCCCGGGTGGAACTGTCATGTCCATGTGAAAGATCGTGTGGACGTGTTAAAAGGTTGGTGACAGCGCAAGGAGGGTACATGTGGGTGGCCTTCATTCAGTGTTCCTGGGTTTCCTTGTACAACAATAGACACGAGAGAGTGTACAAGTTTGATACACGTGGTTGTGTGGATAGTTTGGCAGTGACTGCGACCGGAGTCATCTATGTCTCGTGTCCTCTACAGAAGAGGATCATCATGCTGACATCAAATCGTCAGGTATGCGTTGATACTTTTTCGTCAATTCAAAACCATGAAATACTTGCTTTATTATGGCAGTTTTCTTAAATAAACACTTATTATGTTTATTGCAATATGACTAGTTTTTATATGCATGAAAATAGGTAAATAAACAGTACGAAATAGCCATCATTATGGAATGAAAAATATCAATAGAAGTGGATCTTTCAACATTATCATACATGTATGTTTTAGAAACATCCTTGCTATAATTTCAAATCACACAGGACATGTGCATTTCAGTTCTTATTCTATATAGATAAATATAGCTGACACAATATTATTCTGAAGACATCTCTAATATAGAATCATACCGAGAAACGTCATTATACACAAGTCGGCAAGGTATTACATATACATGGTACCATATTCCCTGCGTCCTAATTTGCTTAATTATAACACCTAAAAAGTCAGTTATTTGAGATGTTTACTCCTGTTTTACTATTTTTAGAAACATCAGGTACATATTTACATTATAAGGTCACTCTTTTTGTAAAGTCAAAATATAAAGCTGTTTGCAAAATGCAGTATTTTTTTCTTGATGATTAGCTTACGGTTCATCTGGTTTAATGATACAATCATAATAATTTCATATCCTATACAAGAATCCGGGACTTTTGTTTTAGTGAATATGTGTTACATGAACATGAAAAGTGATATTTACGTGACTTCGACACGGCTAATATCGTTTTCTCAGGTTCTTATACTAGCATATTACTAATTAAACTGTTTACCGTAGACAACATGCTAAAATTCAGATATATTCGTGGCCACCTTCCCTTGCTTCTTATCCATTTGACTTTCAGGACTACATAGTTTCTCTTTTTGTCGTTTTATTTTGACAGTATTTGATGATTAGTGAAATAATCTGTGTATTTATTTGAGTGTATATATATTTTCGTGTTTATTTACTAAACCCGAACATTTTCTAACCCCGATAATTTCCCATTTGCAGTATTTATGTTGATGTTATAACAAACGGAACAGATAACAACATAACTAGATACGCGAGGAGTCACATAGTCGTGATCGTTTAGGCCTGCCACTCGTGAATATGAAAAAATATCGCAATAACTTTGAACTTGCGTCATTGCAAGTACAAGGAAGTTATTGTAGTGCATTATGGTAATACGATCTTTAATGAAAACAGGAAGGGACTAGATTGAATGTGCATATCTCAGTTTATATTAATGAACTTCTGACTTCCGTTTGAATTGTTGCAGTGTAGAAGGAGTTTACATATCAAATTTAAGTGAAGCCTACATTGTAAACATTCTGTTCGATTTTAAGAAATACAAAAAACTGAAGTGAAAGTATTGTTCAAAACTAACATATCATTTAGGATGGTGTGTGATGCGAGATCATCACCTCTTAACAGTCTGCATTGGCTGTTAATAATAGCTTCCTGGTATTTTCGAGTTTGTAAACATCACCTGTCTGTATCTATAGCGTGCCTATAACTTAAAGTCAAACCTGCCTTAGGCACCCGCCTTCAAATGCCTATGTTTGCAACTTAAATCAAGTATGTCTTTGAAACTCATTTTGTATAACTAGAGTAAAACCTGCAAATTATTCTTTCCTTTCGTGATGACACTCAATCATATATAAACTGCATACAATAGGGGACCAATGTATTGTGTAAGAGCAAGGATAAAATGCCACTGTTTCTTTGCAGGTGTTAATTATGCTTTTTATATCTCGCTGTCCACTGTTTATTTCCTTTCATTTAGTTGACAGTTCTGCACTCTTTCACCAAATTGTATCCACGCGGAGTTGCTGTATCACCGGACGACGGCACCCTGGTAGTCTGTATGGCGTCTAAGGCTGAGGGGTATTCTATGCCAGGTCCTTCAAAGAACAGTTGTCTGATGCGATTTAAAGGCGAAATCCCCAACAAAGCCGGAAAAATTGTGAACAAAAAAAATCACTTTGGATACCCAGTAAAGGTAACCATTAACATGAATGGATTTATATTAGTGTCAGATTTCGGTTTGAGATGTCTGTTTGTTTTGGATAAAGGGGGAAATATGTTGCAGACGTTTCCTTTACTAGGAGGAGGATCACTGTGGCATGTACATGCTCTTACAAGTAACCCCGTTAGATCGTTCTACGTTGTTCAAGGAGGAGCTGGGACACTGTCAATCACACGACTAGGAGAGTACCTAGGAACCTTCGAGGACACATCGACATCAACTAAGGATGAACGTTTAGTAAAACGTACAGTTGAAACGGCTTCAATGAATACGGAGGGGCAGATAGTTCTGGCATCTGGAAATATCATCACACTCGTTTCTCTCGTGTATTAGTAATAAGGTGTGGACAGTGTGATATTTTTTTACAGGAAAACAGTGACAAAGGTTGTTCGCTCAATTAGTGTAAATATAAGGGCAGATGTTAGATCAGATTAAGCAGGCTCACATGCTCCTCATCCTGGATGGTACTGTATAGGCGACGAACAATATTGGATGCAAGTCTACACTTATGTGATTGTGTTGACAACATAAATAGAATCCTGTTAAAGGTTAGAACAGCTTTTGGCAGGAAAAAAAGTAGCAGGGGCAGGTGGGGGACCAAATAGACAGGCAAAAGCGAAGCCCTGTGGTATATTCATATACTGTGATGCTTATTTTGTTTTACGGAATAGTGTATTCATACTTGTTACTTTATACACTAATCTATAATATTGTATATTTACATCTCTCCCTTGTTCAGCTTAGTAAACTCTAACTGCGTTTATTTTTTTTCGTAAACGCAGAGAAAAAAAGGCTTGGCGGATTGATATATGTTTCAAATATGACGCCGTACACGCTTCAGAGAGATAACAGTCCAATGACACCATCTAGATACAGAGAACATATTCGGAATCCATTATGTGTCAATATTTACATTTGGTGTGTCAAAGCCCTTCTATGTTACTACTAAAGTACTGCCAATAGCAGCTTCATCTTATGATACTATAACTGAAGTTGGTCTTTGCACCTCCGAGCGACTTAACAGTGTCACTATCGAACTTATAGGTATCTTCTGCTTTGATCCCGAACACCAGCTGCCTGTCTCAAGTGTCTGTGAGTTTAACAAACACATTTACGCCTTGGTTTTTCACCAATTCAACCTTCTCCGGTTGCACGATCAACATTAACAACATGCCGGACTGCAAATATAACTCTGACCTGATTACTGCGGGCTTCCGTTGAGTGCGTGCGCCTGATATAGGTCGCAATAAAATCGGATTTTTTTACGACACTTAATTAGTTATTTACAAAATGTTATTTGTTACTATTTTATGAATTGAGAATATGATATATATATATATAAATTAAAAACAAATGAATTATTAACGAAAGTTGCGGAGCCTTTTCAATTGTGTATGGGAAACAGCGCGTGACGTCAGCTGTTATCTTTGTGCCGTTCAAGATATTGACCTGACCTGACGGTAATAAGCGGGAAATTTGAAAGTTGGAAAAGACATAAATTATTTTTTGCGAATTTTCATTCCGGAAATATATATATATATAAGCAATAAACTGCATAGATGTGGCAGACCAACTGGTATAACTGCCACATGTGTCCCAGACAAACTTGTCATCGTGCGCTAGTGCGCACCATTCAGTTTGTCTGTGACACATGTGGCAGTTATACCAGTTGGTCTGCCACATCTATGCAGTTTATTGCTTAACTTTACAACGAAAGAATGCTGACAAACTTATTATTCCATGGATGTATATTCACATTTTTTAGGCGGTAACGTCAACAATGGCGGCTTTGTTCTGAAACATTCGACCGCGTCACTCCATGATCAGTGTATCACTGCGCGTACATGACGACCATTGTAAATGAACAGAATAGGTCGAAGGGCTTCTCACATTGTTTAATTAAAAAAAAAACATGAAAGGACAAAATACTGTTGTTCACTGCGTATTTTCAAAATTTACTCATATATCGTGGAGGATTCATTGGAAACATATTGTCCTAGCAACAACGGCTACCGTAGTTACCATCGGGGCAACCCGCTTCGACTTTTTTTCTGCGTAATGAAGCACTAAAACATTTTCTTAATGCAAATATAAGAATTGACCTTCATTTTGCCGGCGTATACGGTAGTATAAACGCAGTTAGCAATGAACATATCTGTATTGAGTGCTAACGTGCACAATATATATGCCAATTGCCAACTGCGTTAATATTACCGTATACGCCGTCAAAACGAAGGTCAATTCTTAAATGCATTAATCCAAATCTTGGTGAGAAATTGGGTTTAGAAATTAAATCAATGATACTGTATATATGTAATTTTGATAGTGTATATGATATGTATTTTATGTATATTTCAAACCTACTACATCTTGTAGACTTGTTGTAAGAAAAAAGGTTTCATACCATCAACAGTGTTAGAAATATGCATGACGAGGTGGATATTTTGTATGATAAAGATGTATAGACAATATAAACGTATATTTCCAAAAAGGATGGCAGTCCTGGAAACTGAATAAAATATATCAGATGACATAAGTCCTAATGATATCACTGTTAATACTGAGCGATGAATTTGGATGATGCAAACATTGAATCATGAAGAAGCCGATAATTGATAAAAAAAACATGTAAGAAATATATATACATCGGCATTATGAAAGTTGTAACAGTATTTTTAATGAAAGAGTGGCATGTAACTAAATCATATAATCTTGATCATGTAACCTACATCAGTGTATATGTGTATTTATTATGAAGGAAAATAAACAAGGGAAATAATTTAACTGTTGTTGTTCGTTAATTCCAGGTGTGAGAAGTAAATACTTCCTTATACACATACGCCGTTGGATACAAGTGTACATGAACAGCCTCGATTATATATAGTAGGAGGATCGCTATGACACGTTTCACTTATACTTTAATATATATATATATATACAGGAAAAACAAAAACTAGACTTTATGGAATGTTCTTGATAATTACAATATTACATCTGAAAATTATATTTTTATCGAATTAACATTGATCTTCAAAGGTTAGGTTTTTAATTCGTATGTCTACACTGTAAGCATATAGATGTTCATACATCATAAAACCGTACCAGTATACGCGTATGTTAGTTATTTAAACGTTTATAATTAGTTATTAAATATGACAGATTCCTAAATACATAATTTAACATATAGTGATGAAGGTCTCTGGACAATAAAATGATTGTGTTATTTGACATATGTCCTGCTTCCTTTTTTAGATCAATTAAAAGCAATACGATTTTTGAAACAGATATTAATTATTTTCGGTAATATGTATATTTATATATTAAGTTTAAAAATATATTTTCAAACAATTTATAACGATGCCACAAATTAATTTTGAGTATCTGTTTTAGTGCGGAATGCAGGTGCTGATCCGGATATTCTTTACAGTCATGTTATAGTATCCGTTTAATTTATTAGGTGACGTAACATAACTTCCTTTTTTCTAAAACATACCTATGCGGCATTCTTTCTGACTCTGACGACAATTTTAATTGATCTAGAATAAAAAGCATACTTTTGAATATTACGTATGAAATTAAGAAAGACAAAGTATCTTGTATACATGTTGGTTAATACAAAGATTTAAATTACGAACCTGCTGTTACAATTATAGTGATATTGAAAAAGATTGAGCAGACTGGCATTATTTTTACCACATTTCTTTAACATAACGAAACCCCTATCATGAAGATTAATTGAGGGAAACGTTATAATATTTATCATATATAATATAGACAAACTTCCTAAACTTCAGTGATATTTTCCTCTGGAAATCTAAAGTGAAAGAAGGTTCCTATATTTCTAAACTTTTTCTTCAGGTTGGTAAGTATGGATGAATCGAGTCATTCAATATATATATAACAACGATTGTACATATGCTTACAGGGACCGCAGAACCAAATGATTTTCCATAGACGATAGTGTTAACGTTTACCACTATCATGGTTAAATAGGGTTATCCACACTGGTTTACCTGCCCTCATTTTGAAGAATATCATCTCACACAAATAATAAAATATTTCAAAATTCTGCCTATTTTAACTTTTTTATATGGGGTCCGCCATTTTGTATTGAATTCGGCACCAAAAATTGACGAAAATTTACAACAAATTACACACTTAATAAACACCCCCAGACAAAAGCAGACGTGAATTATTTATTTTTTGTACATTTTACATCTGTATATATTGCTCAACCAACACATACAACTTTTGAAACTTCTACCACCTAAATATCCAACCAGCAGGCCCCGTGGCATTCACCTTCCTATTAAATCTTCTGCCAAAAAGGGAAAAACCCACAATCATTTTTTGATTTGATTCCGTTGTCCCTACAACGTAGACAAACTCGAAATCAATTTTGTGGACAACTCATACACATTTTACACCTGTGTGTGCATATGCTTCACTGGTCATTTGTCTGATAAATATGGCGATGTACATATCGTACTAGTCATCGAAACGTCACATAGAAAACTGTATTGGTCGTAAATAAAAGGACTTTTCATAATTAATGAAAGAAGGTTCCAATGTGATGAACTTTCGTGAAACTGTGACCTGTGTAAATTGTAATATTTAAAGCAGTTTGTGTAGATTTAACGAAATGTCCTATGTACATGTATACGGAAACAATGACACAGTGTCGTGTCAGAGAACAACATCACCCTAATAAGGAAATAGAAACTATGTTGTATTCGAGTCGCAGATGAGGTATCAGTCGACGATTGTTTAGCTTCGACATATAACGCTATAGAACTTCCTCCAAGAAAACCATTGCAAACTCAAGATAAGCTTACTACAACACTACGCTAAGAAAGGAAGAAGAAACTATACTTTGACATATTACGCAATAGAATTATATCATTATACAACAGTGTACATAGTCTGGTGATCACGTTACTGGAAGTTGTAAATATTAGGCAGTGAGTCATCTCACATGACTTCATTTTACACTGTGTATTCACGACAAGGGGTTTGTATAGATGCTACAAATAGCATGTAAGATCATTAACACTTGTTAATACTTTGTAAACATCTGGAGGTGTGTGATTGTAAACTATAATCCCATATTCGTGTAGTATTCTCCTGATATTGTCTCCTTGGCATATATATTAATACTATGTGTAGGATAATATAATATCTAAGTCGCAGTGACGTTTCAGGAGAAATTTTATTACAATGACAAACTGGCGGAAGTGAACATTAGTTTATGTTTGTGATTATATTCAACCACACAACGCCACACATGGCTATCCCCAGACAAGATGGTATACAGGATATCAATGCTGACCTACTTGACGATGTTTCGAACCACCCACCACCACGTCCTCCAAGAAAACCATTGCAAACTAAAGAGAAACTTATTGAAGAACAACATCTAAATAGAAACTCAAATCCCAGGTATGTCAATTGTTTTATTAATCAAAAGTACATTACTATTTTAAATAAGTAAAGACCGAATTAACAAATTCTGTAAGAGTAAAAGCCAGAGGATTCATTAAAGACGCACCTTTCTAAACGTTTCACATATTTGTAAGTGTGGTACCTTATGTGAATACTGGAGCATTCCGTTGCGAGTTATCGTTAAGTAAGACAAACCTCATTTGAGCACACTTATTACATGTACGAAATCGTGCTTGAAAAGAAGTCAATTTAAAACAAAAAGGGGTATGTGCGGAAAAAGAGTTGGATAGGCCCAATAAGGTTTGCTATCAATGTGTTCAGCTGTAGAAAAATAATTCAGAGGTCATGTGGAGTTATAAGACGGTTTCACTTTGGAGTACGAATTCAATATCTTTTCTGTGCTTCAAAAAGTGTTTTACTGTATATAATGAACTATATAAGGGAATGGAAAACCAATCTCCTACAAGTGTCCCTTGCGCTTCATTCTCAAAGTAAACACAACATATAAAAAATCCCACAAAAAACGACATACAAC